TTTATGTTATATATATAAATATATATAACATATTTATATATGTTTATATATATATTAACATTGAAACAATATGTCAACATGAAGTCAAGGGGAAAATACAGACCTGGGGAACATGGACTTTGAGAAAAGAATTTGTGAGGAATGAAGGTAGGGAGAAGGGGAAGCTGTACTTATAAACACATTAGAATACTGAGATAGAGAAACATCTCTAGAATTCACAGGCATGATCAGAAGAAATCCATAGCATCCCATGAAACAAAAAGTTGAGTGATGTTATTTCTTTCTGATGAATTCCTTTAAAACAGGCTTTGTGGTGCATTTGTTTACAATTTTCCTAATGTATTGGTGTGTATAAGTTAGAATCAGTAGCACAAGAGGCTGTATGACTTTCTTGGCCTCTGTCTTTCAAACTGAATTTATGCAATACATTCATCAGAACCCATACAGAACATGAATAAAAAGCAACCATTTTGTGGACAGAGGAGCTAAAAGACATTTCTCCAAAGAGGAAATGGAGATGGCCAACAAGCATATGAAAAAAAGTTCAGCATCACTTGTAATCAGGGAGATGCAAATTAAAACCACAATGAGACACCACCTCACCCCAGTAAGAATGGCACATCTTAAAACAACTAGCAACAACAAATGTTGGCGAAGATGTGGAGAAAAAGGAACTCTCCTGCACTGCTGGTGGGAATGCAAACTAGTACAACCACTATGGAAAACTGTTTGGCGGTTCCTCAAACTGCTAATAATGGAGCTTCCATATGACCCAGCAATGCCACTCCTAGGTATCTATCCAAAAGACACAAAAACACTGATTCAAAAGATACCTGCACCCCAATGTTTATTGCTGCTTTATTTACAATTGGAAAGACATGGAAACAAATCAATGCCCAAAAGTGGATGACTGAATTAAAAAGGTGTGTTACAGGCCCTCCCTGGTGGTGGAGCAGGTTAAAGCACAGCACTAAGGAGCTTAAGCCACTTCCGCATGAGTTCGATTCCTGCCTGCCCCGGAGGAGACCCACATGGTGCGGCAGACCTCTCCTGACCCTCCCACT